TGGGTTGATAAAACTTACACCTAATGATGATCCACAATTATGGGTTGATAAAACTTACACCTAATGATGACCCACAATTATGGGTTGAAGCATGTTGTTTATTGTAAATAGGACTTCTGAACTTTTGAATACAATTGTTATTGTAGCATGAACATCGTTCAAATCTTTATAATTAAGTAGAAGAAGCAAGGCAATTTAATCATGCTTATCTAATATATATATGTGTGTGCAATTTCAACATGCTTATCTAATATATATGTGTGTGCAATTTCAACATGCTTATCTAATATATATGTGTGTGAAATTTCAACATGCTTATCTAATATATATGTGTGTGAAATTTCAACATGCTTATCTAATATATATGTGTGTGAAATTTCAACATGCTTATCTAATATATATATGTGTGTGCAATTTCAACATGCTTGTCTGATATATATGTGTGTGCAATTTCAATCATGCTTATCTAATATATATGTGTGTGCAATTTCAACATGCTTATCTAATATATATGTGTGTGCAATTTCAACATGCTTATCTAATATATATGTGTGTGCAATTTCAACATGCTTGTCTAATATATATGTGTGTGCAATTTCAACATGCTTGTCTGATATATATGTGTGTGCAATTTCAACATGCTTATCTAATATATATGTGTGTGCAATTTCAACATGCTTGTCTGATATATATGTGTGTGCAATTTCAACATGTTTATTTAATATATATGTGTGTGCAACACAGAGTATAAACAAAAGTAAGAACATTGAGTTTGATTTATACTCAGAAATTATTCTGTAATTTCTCCGAAATTATACCATCATTATTTAAAGTTCATATTTACGCTCTACATACATGCCTTATTTACTTTAACAAATTGGCTCAGTGTTCGTAGTCTAGTGGTTCACGTTTCGGGCTGCGGATCGAAGAGTCTGTAGTGGGAGATGTGATTCCAGTTTTTGAGCGCAATAAGCTCGTAAGCTTACCGCTAAGCCTCCGGGAGCAGTGACTTTGACAAAATAAATCTGTTAATATGTTTTAATAGTATACATTCGAGTGAAAACCTTGTCGTTATACTAGTTTAAAAAATAATTATTGATTTTAGAACAAACGATGAATAGTCCATAATCGGCACAAAACATACCATAATTCAAAATGTTTATATTTTCCCACTTCTTCATTTTTAACGTTGCCAGCTTTACATTTAATTTATTGATTTAATTTTCTTGCAAGAACACTAGCTTTTTAGTAGCAACTGATAGCATTTTTGTATCAGCAGACTGTAATACTTGTCATTAATATATCGTTTGATTGAAAAAGTAAGAATCGTTTCAAACAAAATGTATAAGGAACCTCACTGTTATTCCAATCTAACCTTTAGAGCGAGATATCCTCACAGTATTACACACTCTCCCAGTGTGTAATGGGTGTTTCTTTCTATCCAAAGTTTTGCAGAATTTGTGATTTGCAAAATGTTTCGACATTAAAAGTTTTGGTATTTACTCTGTGTGTGTGTTATTACATGTTTCTGATGTTTTCTTATTAGCATAAGTTAAAAATGTAGCGTATTTTCCCACGTTATCAATTAGATTATTGGGTTATTAATTATTTCAACTCACGACCCACCTGAGTAGCCAGGAAATTTTGTGGAACCCATCCTTAATTTGTGGAAGAGGGATCATTCTCGTAATATAAATAAGATACGTCTGGGCCACCCCTCAGTGGCACAGTGGTAAGTCTGCGGACTTATACCACTAGAAACAGGGTTTCGATACCCGTGGTGGGCAGAGCACAGATAGCCCTTTGTGTAGTTTTGTACTTGATAACAAACAACAACATACGTGTGGTAATGTTCTTATGTTTTGTATTTTTGTTTTATTTTGTTCAAAGGGGTAATTACTTTATAAATATTCTAAAAATAAGTGTGTTCATGTTTTACTGTATTTTGATCTGCGACCCACCATTGGGGGTCGCGATCCACAGTTTGAGAACTGCTGTCAGAATCCAATGTGTTATGTTTTACTCTTTCAACAGGAGAGACAAATGGACATGCCAAGACGGATCCATGCATATCATTGAGGAAGAAAAGCCAAACTACAAACCAACGTATAATTCGTTCACGGTTAGTAACGATGGAGAGTCTAGTTATGGCTATTTCTGCGGTAAAATGTCTGGTCGAAGGTCAACTTTCTATAGTACGACGAGAGCTGTGGTTGTGACAGCGGTGTTTCCCCAGGTCCTGTCTCCGTACCTAGCAGTTCCCGGAGTGTTTCTTACGTACAGGTTTCATCGGAAGTCGCTAAGCTTACTCAGTGATGCATTCGAGTCGAGAATTACGGAGGGCACAAGGCTGTCCAGCTGGACCTGTGATAGGTCTTTCAATGATTGCTACACTCGAAGGTGTTTATTACGCTCCCCCAACTACCCTGGGTTTTATTTGAGGAATGTTACCTGTAACTACTGGATTGAACAGTCTTATGCTCCATCTGGCTATGTCGCCCAAATTGAAATTTTCCAAGAAAATGAGTTTAAAGTCGACGTAGGAAGTGGGTTTTCCAGCACCAGAAATGTAATTCATCGCCAACTGACAACCACTTGCCCAGGAGACGTCGTTCGTGTTTATGACGGAAGAACAACATCAGCTCCCCTATTGGTAGAATTCTGCGGATCTGGAGCTGTCCCAAAGATTGTCACGAGCGGTCCAACAGCTCTAGTACAGCTCATTAGCCATCCCTACCAACCACTTCGGAGATCTCTTCTGGAGCTCATAAGTTCGGTAAGGTTTCGTCCCGATTCCGAATTTAGGGTTAAGCGAAGAAAATGCGAATTCTACATATATGGTAACCAAAACAAAAGCGGTTCTATATACAGTCCTTCCCATAGTCTTGCCACAAACACAACTTGCGTTTTTAATTTTATTGGAAAAGCTCCTTTTTCGAAAATATGGTTATACTTTGCCTCATTTTATATCCCTGACTCCCAGGCATGGTCTAAGGCAGAAAAATGCGATGTGGCAAAGCTACAGATTTTTGACCCTTTTGTAAACGACCAGAAAAAGAACGCTTTGTTCAGAGGCTTTGGCTTTGGAGGTTTAGTAAGCAATTACTGTGAAAAATCCTACCCCCGAATGTGTACTCACGCACGCGACGCCCCAGATCTATCTCCTCTCCGTCCCTGTCGTGTACCGGAAGAAAGCTATCTGTCAGCCGGGCCTGAGATGAGTGTGATGTTTATGGTCTACGAAAACTCCAAACTTAAACCAGTTCCGAGCACGTTCCTCGCCAGGTACGAGTTTATCGACACCATGCTGGACGGCTATCCTGTTAACGGAGCGCGGTGTGACCGGCGGTTTGTCAGCAGGATAAGTAACGCTGGAAAGCTACGGTCACCAAGAAATCTGTTTTTTTATGGTAGAGGTGGGAACTTCAACTTAAGGTGCTCGTTTCATTTCGAAGGATTACCAGGGGAGAAGGTTCGGATCACCTTAGAAAACATATTGCTGGGAAGTCCGGATTCAGGCTGCGAGACTCATTTTGATCCAGTCAGCAAACGTTACAACTGCCACCCGAGGGTATCGACTTCGAGTTACGGACTTCTCAACACCACGGAGAAAATCGGTAGTCTTCACATTCCAGGGGACTGTGTATGTGGGTCAAGCCACGTGATACCCAGCACCCTTATATTAGAATCGGTGAGCAATGAGATGCTACTGTCCTTCGTTGTGGAGGAAATGACCACTAAAGACGATTTTAATGATTTTTTTTTCACGGGAATTTACGAGTTTATCGCCCGTAGCTATTGTGCCAATGAAGAAGCATTCAGTGGACCTGCTGGGGATGTTTCTTTGAAGATCCCCCCTGCAGTTGTAGAAAATATGGTGCCATTTAGATGTAGATGGGTCATTCAAGCGCAGGTTCATAGATTTTTATATTTCTCGGCAGAGGGGAGTTCTGAGGATCGAGGTTGCCATGGAAACAGGCTATTAGTGTACAGCATGTATGAAAACAGGCGTATAAAGACTATATGTTTGGAAAAAACGTCTGTCGGTTTTCGAAAAATTACTCAAGTTTTTAGTCCCCTGTGGAAATCAGAACATTACCTACTAAACCAGTCTCACAGAGGTTTTTCTGACAAGTTGGTAATTGAAGGGATTTCCGTGATGGCTGGAGAACTGTCGTTTAGTTGGCTAGAGGTTATGAAGCCCTACGTAAGGTCGAGTACAGGGAAACTGGTGAGAAATACTGACTGTCAATACGAATGTCCCGAAATTCGGGCGTGTATCAGCAGGGATTTGTGGTGTGACGGAAAAATCCATTGTCCTTCTGGTTGTGATGAAGTACCTGGCCACTGCCACGAATTTCCTACTTTGTACGTCGCCATTGGAGTCAGTGTAAGCGTTATATTGCTGTTTGTTGTGTGTTTACTGGTTACCACGAGAATTTGTAGCCACGACCTAAGGAAAGGTTCTCAGCCCGTACCGACAGAAGAGGTTCAAATGGAGACGACAATTGGTTGAATAAAATGACGGAGACAAGAACTGGTTGAGTAGTCATAGTAGAACATTACCGATATGTACTTTAATAAAGGTTGTGTGTGTTCCGCTGCTTTAAGGAGAAGAATTTCAAAATCAATCATTTTTGGGAAATCGGCTCCAAATATATGTTCTTAAATCGAATACATTTGGAAAAAAATGCTATGATATTTGACTACTTCCACTGAAGTTTTATTGAAGAACAACCAAAAAAAAAACACAAAAAAAAACACTGTGTATAAAATAAAATTAAATTCTGGGTGCTAAGAATAAATAATTAAATTGTTTGGTGGAGATTAAATGAAAAGTTAAAGTAACAGCCAGCAGGTGGAGCACAATTAGAAATATTTTTCGCTCGTTCAAAAAAAAAAAGAAAGAAAAAAGAGCTTTAACAGATGCCCTCTTATAGTGATTAACTACGTTTTATTTGAGATCAGCTGTTGATCAATTAAAGCTTGTGTTTAAAACATAATTTGATGTTATTGATTGTTTCTAAATGCTACGAAGTATCTGACAAACACAGTCCTTTATAAAAGCGGTTTTTAGTTTAATTATTCTCGATTTTCTTTTCGCTTCTTCGATTGGCTATAATTTAAGTTTTCGCTTCTTCGATTGGCTATAATTTAAGTTTTCGCTTCTTCGATTGGCTATAATTTAAATCCTGGTGTGATATATATGCGAGTTCAAGAATGATATATTTTGTATAATGATCGTCTCTTATATGTTATGTGTAGCATTTAGATTTATAAAAATGGAAAATGGTGTCCTACAAATGCTGAAATTCTAAAAGATCACAAAAAAGGAAATTACGTGTCTGATTCAAGAAAACTATAAGATTTTCAAACAAATATTTGTCTCGATTTGTAAATTTCAACGTTTTTAGAACCTAAAGCTGATGTTTATTCTCCATACACCGAGTGGATATATATATATATATTCTGGTAAACTGTTCGAATCATTGATGGTGATCTGTTGTTCAACTCACACTCATCAACTCTCGCACACATACACACAACCCTCGTGTTTAAGTCACTGTCGAGAAACACGTGGGCTTGGGTTCAAGACTACTAATGAACAAAGGCCTAATTTGTGCCGTCGCAACCAAATCCCAGTAAAATCATATTAAGATATGTTTTCTCGTATGTTTCTATTATCTGTTTATAAGTTGAGTTTTATGTTTATGATAACTAAGGGTAAATACGTTAGAAAGGATAACATATTTAACTGCACTAATTACCCGTGTAAGCTTATGGTTACGTGTTAATAGAAACGACGTAATATTTCAATATTTATTTACTCTCGTGTGTGCACAACATAATTTTTCACCAACCTATACTAAAAAAAAACTGATGTTACTCATATTATGTAAAAGTTTTTTTTTACCTATGTGCTTTGATCGTCGACTTGCAAGTGTCTTAAATTAGTCACTCACTTTTAAAAGCGTCAGCCGTGACTGAAGTAAGGTCGACTTACAAGTCATTCTCTAAAACACAATTGATTCGACTTTCAAGTGTCTTAAATCAGTCACTCACTTTTAAAAGCGTCAGCCGAGACTGAAGTAAGGTCGACTTACAAGTCATTTTCTAAAATACACACACACACACAGCGAAAGAAACAAAAGTTCTAAATTTTAAGTAATTTGATTATTTTTGTCTCTAGGTTTGAAAGTGATGTAAATAATTGAATATTATACGTGTTTTGGTTCTTAACGTGTAAAGTATATACATGATTTATTTAATGCTTAAGGGACTGGCTTATGTATTCTTTATTACATAAATCGATAAAACTTTCTTTATGCACTTGTGTGTATGTGTTTTTAATAATTGCTTTTATGCACCGTGTAACACCGGAATTATATACACAAATTACGCTTTATGAAATCAACACTTCAAACGTATAACAACAGGAGAACAATTAAGTTACCAATGATTGGTTTAATTACTTGGTTAATATAAGCTATTCATCTTCGTGGTAAAATTACGTTTGCGTCTGAAATTTATATTTAGGGTTAAACTAGGTATGATAAAACTCGACAAAACTAGTTATATGTAACATTGACTGTTTTCTAAAAATAAACAAAAAGCGTTTAACGAATGAACTACATTGGATGAATGCTAAAAACAATGATATGAATGTTTTGGAACTAGTTATAAGAATTTCCTGTTCTTTAAGTTGAAACTTTAGTGATCCTTGTTGGTGCTTTTTTTTTAATACTTCAACTGAGCGTTCGGTAACAACAAATTCTTGTTTTTTTGCTTGTCATACATTGACTAGAGTGAAAACGAAATTCTGGACTGCTTTTGCACACCATACATTGAGTGGAATGAGCATGAAGAAAAGATTTCATTTAGCTGTTTCACTTTAGCTTATAGAACTGTACGTCATTTCTGAAACTCTAAAAATGCTTTCAAAATAATCGAAAATAAACCTTCATCTTTTAACTGTATTTTAAACTTTTCGGAAGAAATTGGACTTCCCCTCCCCCCTTTACCGGAATAATGGAATGAAATAGCGTAGCGATAAAAATATACATAAAAACACATAAATTGTTCTCAGTCTGAACCACGTGTGTTTACGTAGAGGTGATTTAAACTTAATACAGATTTTCAAAAATAAATAAATAAAACTTTTAGAAAATCCATTGTTGTTTTTCACTGTTTCTCAACATTGAAGACGCAATTGTTTCGTAAATTTAAAACCGTTTGTTTGTTTCTCGTATTCAGGCCAAGCTACAGAAGTGATTTTCAAGCCCTAATTTTTAACTGATAGAATAGATGGAAGGCAACTAGTCAAAACTACCCACCGCCAACTCCTGGGCTGCACTCATAGGATATTAGAAGTTGACTGTCACTCTTTTAACGACTCTAAGGCTCCAAATGGGGAGTCACTGATAGAATAGAAGGAAGGCAACTAGTCAAAACTACCCACCGCCAACTCCTGGGCTGCACTCATAGGATATTAGAAGTTGACTGTCACTCTTTTAACGACTCTAAGGCTCCAAATGGGGAGTCACTGATAGAATAGATGGAAGGCAACTAGTCGAAACCACCCACCGCCAACTCCTGGGCTGCATTCATAGGATATTAGGATTTGACCGTCACTCTTTTAACGCCTCTAAGGCTCCAAATGGGGAGTCACTGATAGAATAGATGGAAGGCAACTAGTCGAAACCACCCACCGCCAACTCCTGGGCTGCATTCATAGGATATTAGGATTTGACCGTCACTCTTTTAACGCCTCTAAGGCTCCAAATGGGGAGTGTGATTTTGTAAAC